TCTGGAAGGAAGGGAAGGATGACGATGGAGCCTCTTTAGCTTTGGGTGGCTCAACGTCCTCCTCCTCCTCAGAAGAGTCAATTATTGTGACCTCTTCTTCTTCAGGTGTGAGGACGAAGGCCCCAACCTCTCTGGCAATGTCCGCCGTGAAACCCTCAGCACTGGGCATCACGGCGTCTCCATCCTTGTCCTCGGCGGCACTCTCTCGAGCTTCTTCCAGAACCTCTCCCTTAGGTTTGGGAGTTCTCTGATCCACCTCCATCTCGGGGGGTGGCGGAGAGGCCCTTGGGGGTGATTGAGGCGGTGGCCGGGGAACCCTCGGCGATCCATTGCCTTCCTCGGGTTCCCTTATTTCAACGCCGATGGTCATCGGCCTCCGCTGAAAGTCATGCGGGCCGATGATGGCCATTCTTCGGCGCCTCTTCTGAAGCGGCTGCTCGTCCATACCCGAGTCTGAAGACTCTTCTTGTACTTGGTCTTCGGGACGAACAGGGGCTTTCCCTTCCCTGTGTCTGCTGCTCTCTTCAGACTGTAAAGGGCAGGCAGGGGGAAGAATGTGAAAAAAAAAAAAAAAAAAAAAAAGAAGAAAGACAAAGTTAAGTCTAAAGGCTCACCGAGGTCTTCAGCAAAGCCTCGTCTTCTTCAGCTGCCCTAGCCGCAGCTTCTTCAGCAACTCTGGAGGACCCTTCTCCACCTTCACAAGCTTCAATAACCCGTGCAACCTCTTCGGCTGTACGGGCAGCTTCAGCTTCTTCTTCCAGCAGCTGAAACAAGGGATCTCTCTTCTTCCACCAAGGCTTCTGCCTCTGATACAGAGCAACAGCCTCAATTTGGAAGTGGGAAGAGTCTAGGTGAACCTCTCGGCGCCTTGGTTCAGTGATAGGGGGAGCCCGATCAGTTACGACTCGTTCTCGGTTGACGCCAAGGCGAGCGTAATCAATGCCGACGTTGGTCTCGTCCCGTTCTGAAAAAGAAGAGGGGAGAAGTCAATTCAGTTAGTTCGGCACATCACAAGAAAGCAAAATGAAAGAAGAAAAGAGATAATTAAAAGGCCTCGGCCCCAGCCGAAGAAGATTACCATCCCTAAACTTTCGGCTGAGGCCGACAGCTGCCAGCATATTCTCTTGGAAAACATAGTGCGTATCGGGGAGCCAAGTCTCCGGGATATGCTGCATTCGGCCGCTGCCTCCCCGGTTCGGCAGCTTGCCGAAGATGTTCTGCTGATTAAGGTTCGGGTCTGGCCCGCTATCTTCGGGAGGACCTAAACTTCCCATATCAGGATCCGGCTCGGCAAGATACCGGGGAGCGCTGAAAACGTAAGGGTGGCTCGGCTCCGTGGGTGCCCTAACCCAAATCCATTGACCTCTCCAGTCCTTGTCTGAAGAGTCGTTCGGCCACATGGTTAGGAACGGGGGCCGAGACTCAATCCGATACCACCCAGAGCCATGGCATCCGTGCCCACTTTGAATGTTTGGCACTAGCCGATGGAGCCTTTTGAAGCAATGCAGGTTCGGCACGTACCTGAAGAATTTGCAGACCCATAAGTACGTCATTACCCTTCGGATGCTGGTGGGGGTCAGCTGGCACAGGGAAATGTTGTAATGGATCAGCAAGTCTCGGACGAATACGTCCAAAGGGAACCTCAGCCCGTACTGGAGTTGTCTTGTGTACACCCCCACATACCCCGGGGGTGGACGGTGGATTCTATCGGAGGCCGTGGGCATTCGGCACCAATACCCATCGGCTTCAAGGATGCCGTAATGCAACTCAATTTGCTCGGCAAACCGGTACTGATCAGCATTCTCCACCCACCATGAGTAGGGGCGGTTCTTTATCATGGCCGAAGCTACTTCGGCATCCTCCCACTCTGAAAACCCTGGGAGGATATCCCAAAGGACAGCGGGAACTTCATCATCCCGTCCTGAAGCGCTCACCCCCTCAGCCCTCTGAGGAGGAGCCGAAGAAATGGGAGTCGCCCTAACCCCTTCAGCAGGGTCAGACTCTGTCCTTCGTCCATTCCAGGTCCCAATCCTGTCCCTGGGATCGGGGATTAGCCTTGCTCTTCTTGGAGCACGGGCTCCACCTCTAACTCCCCTCACCATTGACGAATTTCGAAGGAAAAAGTCGAAAAAGGGGAAAGAGTGCAAAGTCGAAGAAAAATGAAATAAAATCAAAGGAATTTACCTTGATCTGAAGCAAAAGTCGCCGATTTACGAATTGGTAGTGACAAGTCTCAGCTTCTAAGCTTAATGCTCGGGGAATTTGCGAAGTTTTGATGCGGGCTCTTGAGCGTTCTTGAGAATTCTGGGTTTGTGTTGATGAATGAGTGGGGAGAGAAGACGCGCCTCTATTTATATCTCCAGAAATGGGAATTCAAGGAGTCTGCGTTTCAATTTCTCTCAAGCACCCCACTAAGTAACCGTTAAACACACGACCTTGCAGTTAAATCGCCCACTACCCGTCCAACTTCCGCAATTATCCACATTAACTGTTGTTATCTCATTAATCATGGGTTAATTACGGTTTAAATTCACATTTTTGGATTAACAAATCATTCACTTCCCTCCTTTTCTGATTAAATCAAACCCGACCCGTCATCCTTCCAAATCGGGTCTGGGGGGCAAGTTGTTTGGGTCCAATTTAGTCCAATTGGGCCTGGTCACTGAATGATCCAATTAAAAGCCCAAGGTTAAGGTTCAACTCTCCAAATGTGCTAAAGTCAAAAATCAAACATCCTCAAAGCCATGTCAAGGTCAGTCAACGGCCCAATCAGCTTGGCCCAGCCCAACTGACTTCCGGGCCCAATCCGCCTCCTTCATTAGCCAAGGTATAAAAGCCAACAATTTGGTCAATTCTTGGTAAGACAATAAAGCCTCAAGCAACTAAACTCTTGCACAGCTTTCTCTCTCTAATATACTGACTTAAGCATCGGAGGGGCCTTCCTCGGCGTCCCCCCCGAGGCTAGTTTACGTGTATTTGTTGTGCAGGAAACCCTCGGCTCCTGCGTCGTTCGGACCGAGACCAAGTTCCCTCAAGATAAAAGGATCTTCCGAGATTCGATTGTTTTCATCCGAAACAGTATCTTTTGTACTATGATGTCAAACCCCCACCCACCTCCTAAATTAGATCAACTTTACAAGTATATAATAAAACTTAATACTATATTAATAACTTTTATATTACCCTATGCCTTTTGAAATTATGCCCAAACAAATATCGTGATTATTCTAATACACAAGCTAAAGAGTAAGTCCTAAAAATTTCTTGATATTTTATATTTACATGGATCGGATTATTAAATAGATTAGGCTATAAACAATTTAATTAGTATAAAATCATTTCGAATTTGAAGCTATGAAGATCAATTAATTAATTGTCCCAGTTAGAGAGTGAGAAAAAGCACATGTGGTTAGCTTCTTTTCAGGTTTCATGAGATCCTGATAATCTGATATCGATTCTCATCATCTTCCCTTGTGGCACACTAAACACCAAAAAAATATAATGTCTCGGACTCTCAGTTTAGGTCAAGCTTGGTCCTAGAATTCCGACCTATGAATTAGTGGACGGACAACCTTACTAAATATTCCCACGTATGTTTACAAACAATTCTTCATAACTTCTGATTTATGAAGCTTAGATCTTTTACAAACATTTTCCACAAAACAAAGCATTTAAATCATGAAATAGAATGACTTATAGAAGTAGAAGCCAATTAAGTAATTACCCAAGTGACTAGTTTGCGAAGTAGATGAGTTAAAGCATAGGATAGAAATAGATTCGAATATCAAACCTCTTTTGTTTTTTGAAATATATCAAACCTTTATTTTAAGCTTACTAATTGCTATTGTCAAAAAAATAAATAAATAAATAAATAAATAAAATTACTAAATAGATTGAATATCAACAAACTTGGGTAAAGACGTAAATTGATCTAATTATATAAATAGTGAAAAAGCCAAATTGTGATACTTAAAAAATTGAGGGGTATTTTTTAAAGTTGTTTCACATTGTTGTAGGCTATTCATACGTAGTACTTCCTCCGTTCTTTATTACTTGACTCGCTTTGACTTTTACACTATTTATCACCCCTCTTTTGACCGTCTTTTGTGAATAATATGTAAGGAAAAATATATTTATGTATGATCTTTTTGGATTCGTCTCAATAAGTACTATCATAATATATAACTTTTACATTTTTTACATATGGAGAATTTAAGTTATTGATCGTTAAAGTTTTGCATTGACAAGCGTGATAAAAGAAACAGGTCAAGTAAAAAAGAACAGATGAAATATATTAAGATCCTTAATCGATTAATCGTTAACTAACAAATCCAACACTAACAAGTAACAATGATTAATTTTCCCCTCACCCAACTATAATAGTTGGGCAGCCATTATATTTCAAAAAAAAAAAAAGATTAATTTCCCCCTAAAAAAAGTGAATATTTTTTGTACAATTAAAAAGCTTAAACAAGTTTTATAATGAATGAAAATATAAGAAATAATTAGTTTGTTAGTTAGGAAGACATCCTTGTTGGCTTCAAAGATTAATATGAGCAAATTGTATTTTTGTCTCCCCTCCCAAAAAATAAATATAAATAAATAAAATACTCCGTATGTCGTAATATCTGCTTTAAATTTCAAATTACCAACTTTCGTAATTAAAAAAAATGCTAACTGAAAAAGAATTAAAACCATATATTGACTTTTATATCAAAAAAAAAAAAAAAAAAAAACCATATATTGACTTTATTAAATTCATCTAATTTAAAGGAAGAAAATTTTACTAATATCTACGAACTTTATCAATAATCAAATTCATGTTGATTAATTTTTTTTTTTTTTCAAAAAAACAAATTCATGTTAAACCCTAATTAACAAAGACTTAAAATTAACCAAATAATCCCATCTTTTGTAACAATAATACACAAACACAACAAAACAGAAGCTGCAAAACAAATTTAAAAAATGCAAGAAAATGAGTGATTGTATTTATGTACTTGTTGTTGGAGAACTCGTAAACTCGGCCGCGGCTAGAGAAGACGATGAGGGCAATTTCAGCATCACAGAGGACAGATAACTCATAAGCTTTCTTCAACAATCCATTCCTTCTCTTGCAAAATGTTACCTGTCGATTCGTTGTGTTCTCTATCCTCTTTATATCTATCTTCCCTCTCCCCATTTCTGATTTTTCTTCTTTCTTCTGCACTCAAAATAATAGTAATTCAACATGGTATTTTCAATAATTATATAAATTTTGTAACATTATTCACTAACAAACACTCTTAATTTGAGTTGATGGAGTTCAAATCTTAGCGGAAATTCATGATTATACTAATTTCTTCACAATAGTAAAGTTTTTTTTTTCTTTTTTTTTTTTTTGAATAGTTCACAATAGTAAAGTTGTTCAAATATATATTTTTTTCAAATAATAAAAAAATAAATAAATATATTTTCAGCATAATTTAGGGTAGTAGAAACTCTTTTCTTAGAGTTAATAAATTTAAAATTTAAATTGTTTCAAAAAAAAAAAAATATACAATACAAAGACTACAAACAAACTCTTAAGATTATGAGTTAAGATCTTCATATGTTTTTTTCTCAAAAAAAAAAAAAGAAAAAAAAAAAGATCATGTTTATAGTAAAAACACCCATTCTTATTACTTAATTATAAAAATAGCTCAATTTAATTATAAAATGATGTACAAAACTCATTTTTTTTTCTCATACAAAAGTGATCCTAATCAACGAAATTATAACATGAATTTTCTCAAATTCTACGGGTTAGATTAAAAACCACTAGATCTAATTCATAATTGATAATATTTAAGCCCCCTCAAAAAGATGAAAATAAATCATTTGTGTATAAATGAGCTCATGAGTATAAATATTATGCGTAACCAAATAAATAAGATCAATCTAATCATGCATATATTAATAGTAGTTACACACTTACACTTACACATGACTATAAAATACTGACATAACACAAATATACACAATAAGAGTAGATCTAATAATAGACATTTAGCTACTATTTTTAGAAGAAGTAATCAAAATTGAAATTATCAAGAAAATGGATATTTTTAAATATTTTATTTACATACATAATTTCTAAACAAATCTGCAAAAGTAGAAAAATCACCTTTTATTTTTATTATTTTATAAAAAAAATTTAAAAATTAAAAACAAACCTTGGGAAATGAAAATAAAAAAGACTGATTATTGAAGAAGAAGTGAGAGTTTAAAAGAAAAAAAAGAGCTCAAATTTCAAGGAGATGAATGAAATGAAAGAGAAGGTAGTATAAAAATGTTCAACCCTAAAAGAAAACGACGTCGTTGAATGAAGGAAAATAGGGATGGGGTAATGGGATTCTTTTTCCTAAATGCATGCAAGGTGACGTACAGGTTAAGGACCTGAGGTAGAGTGCTTTGCAGGTGGAATTCTAACTATTTTTAGTAGTTTTTGCCTTTTTTTGGAGTGAGATTACTATTTTGCCCTTTTCATGGTCCCTTTGAATTTAATAGTATATGGAGATGAAACAGAAATTGTAATTGTGGAGCAATAATTGATTATTATTACTAGATAAAGCCCGTGCGATGCACAATTTGTTTTTTTTTTTTTTTTTTTTTTTTTTTTTGTATTCTATAAGAAAGTAATAATCTCTTATTTAATTGACTACAACTAAAATTTATAATCCTACATGGCGCACTAAGAAAATTAAATCCTACATGGTTCTCTAAAAACTCGAGAAAAAACTGGTCTTTTCCAATATATATATATATATATATATATATATATATATACACTGGAAAAGGCCAGTTACGATCCATTCTAACTTGAAGAATTTCGCTGAAAATAATGATTAGGGAAGATGATGAAGAAGAGTGGAGGTGTTTCTTCTGCCATTGCTATAAGGTAGGAGAGAGAAAGTGAGCAAAAGGAAGGGGAAATACAGTAGAAGTGGGGAAATAAAAAAAAAAAAATTGTGGCTGGCCATTATCCACATATAAAATTTTGTGTATCAATATATATTTTTTAATTAATAATTTAAATTGTGATATCAAAATATAATTTATTCATTAGTTTTTTTTTTCAATTATTTAAATCCTAATATCTAAAGTTGATTTTTAGTTTTTGTAAAAGATGATTTTTTTTAAAAGATAATTTTAGTTTTTAAAAATAATTTCAATATAATAAATCACTATTCTTTTTTTTTTTAACCAATGTGGCAAAATTCTTAAATCTCATTCGTCAATTTTACTTAAGTGGCAAGTGAATTTTTTAATTCTAAAATAAAATAAAAATCTAATTTTTAATTGGTCAAAATAAGACCTTTGTTTATGTGGCGCGCTGAGTGCTCTCAAAAAATGTTTAATTTAATTATATATATTAAATTATTATTATTATTATTATTATTATTATTATTATTATTATTATTCATTTGCTGACCAAAATTGTATGTATGAATTAATTTTTTTTAAAAAGATAGGTGAAGCGATTATGTATGATTGATGTTCTTCCGACTGTGTAATCGAAGGAGACGTTCGTTAGTTTTTTTTTCTTTTCGTCCTAATTTGGTCCGTAAACATGTAATAAATTTTTCGCCAACTTTTTTATGCCTAAGGTAATGACCTAAACTATCTTAGGTAATGGCTTAAAGTAGTTTAGATCATTATCTAAGACACAAACATGCAAGTTCACAAAAAATTAATTATTACGTGTTTATGAATCAAACTGGCTGGGAGTCGGGGGAAAAAAATGAATGTCTTCTTTGATGACACACTTAGAAGAACATCAATTATTCAACCTAAATCACTATGTCGCCGGCCATCACAATATTGGCAAACACCTATTTAGGTAATTCTTTATTTCTTAACAAATACTTAAACAAGTGATTGTTGTTGAGATTTTTTAAGAGCAAAACCCTAAAAATCAAAAACTTAAATAAAAAAAGCTACAACATGAATTGATGAATGACATGGACAGACCAAACCTAATATTGAAACCTTGAATGAATTGATGAATAAAAGTGACAAATTTTTCAAAAAAATTGATTTTGTATGAAGAACACTTTTTAAATTTTTTTAGTTTAATTTTGATTTTTTGAAATTAATAAAGAAATTTAAAAAAAAAAAAAGAATTCAGAAATTATAAAATAAAATTTTCGAAAATGAAAAAAAAAATTTAGAACTTTAGAAATGACAAAAAAGAATTTTAATTAAACTTTACATTGAAAAGTCAAAGATTTCATGGCAAAGCACATCAAATCACTCATGCCACATAATAAGGCTTGTAGTAGTCACTTCTCAAAGGGCTATTATAAAATTTTCATAGAAACAATACTTTAACTTAAAAGAAATGAACCCACTAGACGATTATAGCTATAATGTTAGACACCCGAAAATGTCCCAAAATCGAATAAATAAAGAACAACATTAGAGAAAAAATTTATACTCATCTGCTGATTAAATTTTTTTTTCCTCGTTCAAAAATTAGAACTAGTCAAAAAAAATTACAAAAAAAAAGAAAAAAAAAACTTTGAGTGCACCTATCTTTATGTATACCCAAGTGTATATAAAAGGTTCTATAATGCTCCCTCCGTTTTTAAATACTTGCTCCACTTTTCTTTTCTGGCCGTTTTTAAATACTTGCTCCATTTCCTTTTTTAGAAAGCTTTTACAATATTAAATTCAATTTTCGACCCAACCTAACTAATACTCTCTCTCCTCCTGTTCTTCCACTACTTTTGCTTTTTACATTTTTTATTTTCTCAACTACCCCACTATCTCCATATTTTAATACTTTCTCCAATTTCTCCTAAAATTCCGCGCATGGAGAAATGGAGCAAGTATTTAAAAACAGAGGGAGTATTATGGCTTATGATCATTAAAAAATTTAACAATCTTTTATCAAACGGAACAATTTTTGTAGATTTAATCACTGCAAAATATAATTACAATATGAGAAAATTATAATATATATATATATATATATATATATATATATATATATATATATATATATATATATATATATATATATATATATATATATATATATATACTTTTTTAAGAAGATGCTCTTACATGTTGATTGAATAAGGAAGTACATAAACTTGGTTTTATTTTCTCCTTGACTTTGGAGGAGGTATGGTCTAGTACTCTAGTGTGTCGTTTTTAAGTGGTCTTATAGTTCGGATGTTAGTAATTTAGTATTCCCATTCATATTATGGAGGTAGTAGTATGTTGAGGGAAGGAGGAATGTGTGGAAAAAAGATTTGGTGTTCAATCATGGCATGCTTATCGTTCAATTTAGGTTAGTGTGTGTTGATATTTGTCTTAACGCTTTTAATTTCTATTATCAGAATGTTTGCTCTTCAATTTCTAGGGTTCATATATAGCATGTTTATCGTTCAATGACTCATGTTACTTGTGATTACTCATCACAAGGTCTTTACAACCTAGTTCGTATATTAACTTTACTACTGATCATTCTTCTTCTACCAAGTTTCATGGATTTTCAGGAGAGCTGAGCCTTGCTCTTCATGTTTTCCATCCCAATTTCGACTTAATCTTTTATTAAAAAAAAATCATACTACCTCCGTTATATATTAGTTGTAACTTTGGGGTATTATTTGTGAGACGATAAAAAATATTCCAACAAAATTGCAACTATATATATATGTAAGGGAGGTAGTAATAAATACTATTTTTGTCATGCTAACACCTTTTTGTGTAGATAAGAAGGTCAAATCAACAATCAAAAACCAATAGGAAAAGAGCCTACTACCTTTAAAACTTTTATTTATCTATATTTAAGCTGATTAAGTTAATTATTTAACCTTGTAAGTTATGTAAGGGTCATTCATTGCCCTAGTGATTTTGCTTTAGTTTGTGCTTATAACTAAAAATATTTAATTTTTATTTATGCAAACAATACAATGTTAAACGATGTTTTCTATTTTTAGTCATGTTAAGTTGTAATGTCACCCATATTTTTATGCAAGCATACCCGATAATTCAAAATCACTAGACTTCAAAGTTCAAATTCGAGTCGAATAAGGCTTCAATTAGAAGGAAAGCTCTTCCAACAAGCGTCTATGTGTTCTGTCGTTTAGAACCCAAGACTTTGATTTAGCTAAGAACACGTGAACAAGTCCCTTAAGGGCCTTAACTGCTGAAATAAGCACTTGTTGATGAGTTGTTACCCAATCAATACAGCCTTAAAGAGTTACTTTTGTAAAAACTTGAGCAATTACTAAACAACTTGCTTTTGATGTAAAAGTTTTAAGTAATTGAAGATGCTTTCTATCATTAGACATATTGCGTCACTATATCGTGTAATATCATTGCCTTAATTAATAAAGCATGTGGACCCCATGATTAATTTGTTTA